TATAGTCGTTAAGATTTTAAACTCAAGTTAAAATGCGGTAGAATTAGAAGATTGAGTAATACAATTAGGTTCTATGTTGATAACATAACTAGTCAAAGAGAGCAATGATTGAAAAGCCACGATGTAAAGAAAATTGTGAACCATGGATAGAACTAATAAAATATACCATGAAATAAAAGACATTTAGTTGAATGTGAGGTGTCACGACCACCCGACAAAAGGGAGATTCACGCCTTATACGGGTAAATATTCAAGCAAAGCTAAACTATGTAGGCCACGAGAATTCGATCAATATCACTAGTGTTTGCCTTTAAATACTAGACCTTATAGATAAAAATGTGTGTCTCAATAGCACTATAAAATTTGTACTATATAGTGAGTTAAACAGTTAATCATGTTAATTAGATAAGGAGTATGCTACAACATATTTATGGAATATTATATTCTAATATATACAAATATCAACACTCCTCCTTAATCATAAGCACATAAGTCAAATGCACCAAACTTACTACATATATAATTAGTTTTGGGAGTTTGTATGAAAAGTTTTCATCTTTTTCCATCTCAATTAATGGTGCATTACATGGTTGCTTTACCTGCACTAAAGGGGTGAGATAGTGTGATCTTCTCTCCCATATTTTATTATACATTGTTGAGGATGTGCTCAACAAAAACTTACTAAAATAGTCGATGTTGGACAACTAAGTCTCATTAAGGCAACCAGAGAGATTTAAGTTCCCTCGTATTGTCTGTATGTAAAAGATATTATGGTTTATTATAATGGAAGACATACTAACCTTGTAGCCCTTAATAATCCTTTCATAATATATGATTTAACATCAAGGCAAGTTGTTAACACCAACAATTCCATTATCAATTATGGACTAGTCACACAAGCTAAGCTTCTTAAGAAAACTTAGTCCATTAGCTTCAACATTAGTACCCTTCCATCAAGCTCTTTGGGGCTTAAAGGCTTATGTATGGTAAGCCCTCTAATGCTGATAACTTTAAAAGTGAGGATGCAACCTTCCCTCTATATGCATTATTTTCCTTCTCCAAGTAGACTCCTCCTTCAATGTCTTCTTTGAATTCACATGTGCCATAAATATATGGACTTGGCTTTTGAGATAGTCAATATAAGACTTTAATTTAACTCTATTTATGATATTTAGAAATTGTGTGAGAGACATTGGAATCCAAAATGAAAATTTATGATTCAAGCATGTCTAGGTAACATCCTGAGCTCGATTTGGAGATGTAAACATTTAGCTAGATTTAAAGTAAAGGTCACCATTGAAGATATCATTCAAAGCCTTATTGAAGATAGCATTCAAAGCCTTTGAGTTTCCAATAGCATCATCATCTTCAACATCAATCCATTTAGCTTTTGGTTTTAAGCTAGTGGTTCTATCTTCAGAAGTAACCACTAGATGTTTCCATCCTTTTATCACATCTTTCGAAGTTTTGTTGCCCGTGGATTTGAGAAATACCTCCATCATAGCCTTCCAATAATCATAATTTGGACCATCTAAAACATGTGGTTTGTTGACTGATCCTCCATTTTTAATTGTCCCCATTTAAGCATAATTTAACTTCCATGGTGCTCATCCAACAAGCTAGGGTTCCTAATCTGATGTCAATTGAAATTTTGTTCCTCAGGGGACAGATGTCAAATATGATGTCCTAGACAACTGGTTCGACAAGTTAAACTAGAATCACCATAATTAAAACATATTAAATCGCACAAGATGATGAAGCAGAAAAGTAATAAAGAACATAATAATTGGTAACCATGTTCGATGCAACAACTCATACATCTTGAGGGCTGGCTTCCAACCTAAGAAAGGAAATTCACTATTAGTAGTTTAGTACAGTTAGTCTTACAAGCAACAACAAACTTTGTGATGTTCAATACCTCTTCTTAACATTACCCAATGACTTTCTATTTAGGACTCCTCCTAAATATGTGAACCCCTGTTTCATTCTCTCAATCATTAAACCCTAGAGATTGGTGTTTAACCTAATTATCAATGTTGAATATTACAACTCAACTAGACAAACCTTCTATGCCAAGTTATTAAAACATAGAGGTGTACATAAAGCAATAACAAAGACTTTAAACCCTACCGCACTAAATCTTCAATGAAAATTGTTTGTTTTCCAATGTAGGTCTTGAGCTCCTTATGTAGAAAAAGTATTATGGGCTTTTCTCCTTGTGGTTTTGCATTTAATTTCATCTAAAATCTTTGAATAATCAATTGGATATTATTTTCTCCATAAATATATCCAAGAAAAAGATATGATTTGGTTTAATTCAAATTCAAATTTAAATTGCATTTAAACTTATCTTCACAACTATCCAAAAAGTTATATAACCATATTGTTAAATAAAAGTAATAAAATCTAATTGAATCTTTAATAGAATATTCATCTTAAAATGCATAAAGTTGAATCTAATTAAACTTTATGCACCAGAAAGTCATCTTGATGCGGCTTGACAAACTTAAACACTTCTCCATGATGTTGTTTTGCAAAATGCAGCTAATAAAAAAAATAACAACGGTAACCCAATTTGAATCAACAACACCTAAGTATAGAAGGTTGACTTTCAACTCAAGAAAGAAAATTCATTATTAGTAGTTTAGTATATTTAGTCTTATATGAACCAACAAACTCTATGTTGTTCAATGCCTCTTCATAAAACTATCTAATGACTTTTAATTTATGACTCCCCCTAAATATTAGACCCATCTCAATTTCACTCAATCACTAAACCCTAGTGATAAACTTCAATTCACAATGTTGAATGTTGATTAACAACTCAACTAGACAAACCTACAACTATGCCAAGTTACTGAAACAGAGTATGGTGTACATATAACAATAACAAGGACTCAAATAAACCTTAGCACTCTAATATCTTCAACGTATTGCTTTTTTCTAATGTAGGTTTTGAGCTCCTTATATAAATAAGTATTCATGACTTTTTTCCTTGTATCTTTGATTTAATTTCGTCCATTGTTAGATATGATTTGTTCCATAAATATCTCTAACAAAAAGATATGATTTGTTTTGGTTTGTTTCAAATTCAAATTTAAGTCATATTTAAATCTGATTTGATCTTCACAGTTGTTCAACAAATCATATAATTATATTGCTAAATCAAATCAATAAATCTAACAGAATCTTCAACAAAAAGTTTATCCCAAAATACAACAATGTGACGTGTTGAACATGGCTAATATGTCGTACCCACATGTTGTGACATCACGTCTAACATGTGTCTCTTTTGCACCAGAAAATCATCTTGAAGTAGCTTGACAAACTTAAACACGTATCCATGTTGTTGTTTTGCAAAATCTAGCCAATCCAAAAGAAACAACATTCTCCATCCCGGAATCTCAAAATTGAGGGTATCTCTTTCCTAAATTTTAGTGGTGATCTTTGGCATCCTTTTGATCCTATCTGACTAATGTCTCATCTATTTATCGAATCCCTCGTTATTCTTTAGTCCTCTTCTAGTTTTTCTAATGGAAATTCATCCTACTATTGAAACAAGCAAAAGGACAAGATCCAACATGGAGCTATCTTATAATTTCCCTCCCTGGTCATTAGATCCCGTAAAACATGATAATATGAGATAGAAATGAATCAATGGAAATAGACATGCACATCAAAATAGTTAATCAAAATAACAAGAAACATGAAATAATACAAGATAACAAAGACGACCCAGACTTTTGTGTTTGGGATGAAGAGGATATCAAAGAATAATATAAAGACAACCAACGGAAAATTCATGTCAGAAAAACAAATACACAAGCAATCTCTCAATTCTTGTCAGAAAAACAAATACACTAGCATGCTATTTATAAGAAAAATAGCACACTAATCTATTGGGCTAGTTAACAATTACACATTACAAGTTAACTTAAACAATTGGACTTACAAGTAAGATCCATTTCAACATGCCAACAAATTCAATTGTGAAGCTAAGAACGTGAGAAAAAGAAACATTTTTAATTTTTTTTAATATATATATATATATATATATATATATATATATATATATATATATATATATATATATATATATATATATATATATATATATATATATATATATATATATATATATATATATATAATGATAAAATAGTGCTTATCATTAATATATTTTTTATTTTTAAAATACTATCACAATAAAATTTATATTTGAACAATTTTTTAAGCACTCAAAAATCCTCCTCCAACACAAGTTTTGAGTTCCCTTAAATTAGGAGAATTTATGTGTTATGAATAAAAACAAACAATATAAATCCCTTTCAACCAAAGTTTTTCTATTATTTTCACCAAATCCTTTCTAATTTTCAAAGTCACCTCTTTTCATCCCCTCTAAATGAAGCCTTAGTGAAAGACAATAACAAAGTTGTGATGGCGGAAATAACATGGAAACAGAGAGGTTATGACAACGGAGAAGCCCAAGCTATTTTGAACATATTAATGATATCTAGATTAATGGGGGCTAAAAATGGTTCAAATATTCACCCGTTGGAGAAGTATAATCAAAAAGTGACAATGAGAGGAAAGAGATATTTGGTCAAAACTATTAGCGAAATCCTAACGACACTCGGATCTAATAGTATTAGTTTTATCAATAGAGAAATTAATAGAGAGGCTCGCAATTTGGATAAGAAAAAACTACTACCAACAAAAATAGCATAAGACTACAACCACAACCCAAAGAAAGCGAATGTCTTTTTAGACATTTTCAAAAATAATAAAATACTATTAGTTTGTCTTTAAAAAATAAAAAACAAAATTTTCATTATAAAAATAAATGCTTACTTAGAATCATGTCCTTACATATATTCTTTTTAAACATTAAAAAGAAATAAATAATATTTTTGTTTGGATAAAAAAAAACAAGCAATGATATTTTTGAAACATGCCCAAATATTGGGGTAGCAAATTTACAATGCCAAGCACAGGCCCATTTAGGCCCACTTAAATTTTTTGATATATTCTTGAAACGTAGAAGATATGAGGCGTTTGTAAACACTTTGAGTTGGATGAAAACTATCCCAAAATACAAACTCCCTATCATTGGGACAAGTTGAAGCTAAATGATTGCATAGGAATACAACCTCTATTTTGCCTGTGCCACAACATCCTCTATCATCCACTTTATATCCTGCAAAATAGAGAAATCAACACTATAATTGAGTATAACATTTAACCTAATTACTTAGAATTCATAATTATTGATTTCTTTCTTTATTCCTACAGAAAACAAATAAAAGTTAGAATTACCATATTTTTTTGAGTTTAATATGATGTCAAGCATAGGGTTATAGACATCAATGTAAGCAATGTTGCTATTTGGATAGTTCTGATTAAAAGAAGCTAAAGCCTTAGACAATTTGTTGTTGTATAATTCTACTGCTTCATTGTATTCCACTACAATATTTCTTTCTATTCCTCCAGCTGCTGTTCTATGAAATGGTAAGCACCCAATTGGTGGTACATTGAATACTCCAATTCTCCTTGCACCTAGTTCATATAATTCCTTCAAAGTGGGGAAAAAAATTAATATATAATAACACAATTACTTAGAAATTAAATTTAAACTATATTTTTTAAGATGTAACTTAATTAATCATACATACATACCTTTAAAAAATTAGAAGCCAAATTGACGATAAGATCAGCATAGTCTGAGAAATCATATTGAAATTGTCTGATATGAGATAAGAAATAGGTGTTGGAAATGTCATTACTGCCCAATGCCACAAGAAAAAGACTATTTGTCAAGATGAAGTTTGTTCTGTCTTCTCCAACAAGTACTGTTAATTTTGTTATGTATTCTTTGAACAAGTTTAGTTGACCAGATGAAGATATTGCTGACTGATTATGATTAAAAAGAAAAAAGTGAAGTTAATAAATAGAAATAAAATTATAAAATGAAGTGATTAATGTTTTATGAGGGGATGAAAATTATTTGTACCGCGATTTGAGATGTTAAAGGATCAAATCCAGCACCACCGGAAGCAAAGTTAACACCAGTAGGCAAATCATCAGGTTGGAGATTTGGATCCAAGTAGGCTGGTAGAAGCTCTTTAATGCCTAATTCTTCAACTGATGATACAAAAAACATATAGCATACACTTTTTAAAAATAAAATACCTTAAAATCATTTTTTTTGTTGGGTCTAGAGTTCCATTATTTCATTGCAAATATGTAAAGGAAATTTCATTCTACTTCTTATTAATGCAAATGTAAAGGAAAGTTCATTCTACTTCTTATTAATTTTATAAATATTTTAATGTTAAATTCTAAACTTAAAAAAAAAAAACTTCTACTTGTTTATTTTAAATATTAAAAAAAAATATTTTTAGATATTTTTGGAATAATCCTTTTACTTGTTTATTTTAAATATTTTAAAGTATTTAGAAGAATTTTCTGATATAATATAAATTATATCATTCGTATAGATATTTATATATAGTGTTGGAATAATCTTTTAGCCTGTCATTTTCATGTTTAAAATATTTTTATTGTGAAATTGAAAAAAAAATTCAATCACATCAAAAAATTTGATATGTGTAGAAAAAAATAATGACAATTAAAATAAATAGTCTTTAACAAAATAATATTTTTTTAATACGATAACCACTTAACTTTGCTCAAGAAAATAAAAGACAAGAAATACAATAAGTTATTAGCCTAATTCAACCAAACAATATATTTTGACTGAGAGTAGTTCTTTGAGTCACTATATATAATTTTAAAAGTTGTTATAAAAAAATTATAAATGAGTTATAAGAAAATAGTCACCCATGTGAAATTGAGCAAATCATATTTTCTAACCAAATATTTTTCAATCTCTCCAACTATTCATATATAAACACACAAGTCCTAAGTGTTTAAAAATGTTTCTTAAACCCCCTTAAATATCTTCAAGGATTTCTCAAATTTCAAGAACATGTTCTTAGGAATTTGAAAAATCCTTCGCCGACCTTCCGCACACGTTCATCTTCGTCGACTTCCAGGCTAATTTTTGGTTTTTGCATTCTCAAAATATTATATTCATTTATCTTCGTCACTTAATTTTTTAAGGCATACTTTAAAATTTTTCCACCTTGACTTCAAACTCGATGATGTCAATTTACCCAAGAACCACCTTACTATCAATTCAACATCTTTTGGAAAAATAAAAGATCGATGGTAACATTTGATTTTGTGAGTCTAGTTAATCAATAGCTATGGTCTCCGATTCTTCACCGCGACAGCTTGAACCTTGATCTTGTCAATTGCTTCCTACCATTTTTTATACTTTAGCAGTCTAACAAACCCATAAGTATGATTCTTCAACCATCTTTGTCTTCACATACTTTCGAATGTCTCTCTGAAGATCTGTGTTTTTTAGTTACTCAATCTTTTGGCCACATTTAAAGCATAACACCAAAGGCCTACATAAGCGTCCCTTTGAGATGGTATAATCTTCCTCTTACCTTATCGCAAATTAAATGATAATTTGAGGTCTCTGTAATCATTTGCTCACTACTACAACTAGTATCCATAATAGGAACCTCCATCTCAAATTGAATCTTCTTCTCCATAGTTTCTAAAACTTTCATTCATAGTTCTTTACTTTTCTTCCCATGACAAAACTCATTAAAAGTAATATATGTATAACTGATGAACTTTGATCCTTTAGGTTCAAAAAGCGCATAACCATTCTTATTTCTTGGATAACAATTGATAACAAAATACACGATTTTATCATCAAGTTGACTTGATTTGATTAATGAGTAAACTTTTGACGACCTTCAAAACGGAGTAGATTACAGTCTTCCTTCTCCAAACCTCCATAACTATTTGGAAGTTTATTCCTGTAAAGGAATATCTGCCAATCAGGTAAGCTTTTTTGAAACCATCCTTACCACAGAAACTCCATGACAACTTAACAGTCAAATATTTTTTATCCCTAGTATTTTACAAAAATTATTAAAGTGCTATGAAAAAACCTCCAAAAATCCACCATGCATTGATTTCAAATCGCATAGTTTGTTCTTTTAAGGAAAGATGACCGAAATAATATTGGAACCTTCTAAAATATATAATCCACATATTTTAGACTATTTATCCATTATCATTTAACTATGTGAAATCTTCAACATCCCATGTTCAACTCTAGTATAATATCATAGATCATCAAACATGCTTATGAATTAAAAAAAAACCTGAATTTTGAAGCATACATCAGGTTATGAAAAAGAAACTCACAATCATCGAATATTTTAAGTCTTACTGTATCAATACCATGAACCTTGCAAGCCTTATTATCGCCAGGGGAACTACTCCACTTATCTCCAATTCCAAATTCTCAATGTATTCTTTTATTGGACACGTGTGATAAAATCAACCTAACTCCTTGACTTAACCCTCTTCAATCTCCAAACTCGACACCACAAATGCACCACTACTCTCATAACTACCATCATGGGAGGAATCAACAATCTAAAAAGAATCTTCATTATCACTCCTCCTAGAGAAATTCCTATTAAAGTGATCGTGTTTTTGACAAATAAGACATTTTAATCTTGACTTGTCAATCCTCTTTGATTTTGACATCCTTCTACACTCACTTCCTCCTCTTGAGACACTCAAGCTTTCACCATTATCCTCAATATTCAAATATTTTACCTTTGAACATTCTTTGGATCTCACCATCGTTTGGCCTTTCATCCAAAGCAATATCACCTTTCTCACTATAAACAAGTGCATCCTTAAAGTGCTCAAAGGATATGGGTAATGAGTTCAACAAGAAAATATTATTGTCTTCATCATCAATCTTCACCTCAATAGTCTCCAAATCATCAATAATCTTGTGAAATTATGTCAAATTTTTCATTGTAGATTTGTTCTTTTCCATTCAAAATGAATAGAGTTATTGTTTGAAACACGACTTGTGAGTTAAAGACTTGATCATATACAATGATTCAATTTTTCCCACATCGTGGACTTCTTCTTGGAGAGTTTCCTTAGAACTTTATCTCTAAAACGCAAGATAATGACACGTCTCGCCTTATCCACTATCTCGGTCTTCTTTTCTTGTGTTATGTGTGCAAACGTTGATGCCTCACCCTTTGAATAAACTTCTCTTTAGTTAAGACTTTTTGCATCTTCTCTTCTAAAATCGTTGTCTTTAGAAAAACTTCTCAATTTTCCACTTAGAACTCATTGTGCTAGCTTATAAACAAAATCTCTTTACTTCACGCTGGTGTCAATTGTTGTGAAATTGAAAGGTTCAATCACATCAAGAATTTAATGAGTAGGGACAAAGCGCAAATGACAACCAAAATAAATGATATTTGGCAAAAAATAACTCTCTAAGGAACAAGACAACAACTTAACTTGGTAGAAGAAGATAAAAGGCAAAAAAACACAATAATTTGTTTACCCAGTTCGATCAAACAATCTACTCTGAGGAGAGAGCAAATATCTAATTCACTGTACTTCCAACCGTTGTTACAAAAGATTACAAATGACTTATAAGAAAATAATCACCTAAGTTCCCAAGAGCAAACCTTATTTTCTACCCCTAAGTGTTTCTCAATCTCACAAACTCTTTATATATGAATCACACAAACACAATATTTTTAGACGTGTTTTTCAATCTCTCTTAGATATTTTCAAGAATTTCTCAAATTCCAAAAACACACTCTTAAAAATTTGCCCTTAACTTTCTAAAATTATCACTAAAATTCTCAAACCTTTCTCTTTGTCTTCAGTTCTAAAATTCTGAAAGTTTTGAGAATCTTTAATAAAAATCTAAAAAAATCTACCTAAAAAATATCCAATCAACAAAAACATAAGGGTGTAGTGAGTATTTGTCGGTAGTGTGCTTTTGTGAGTCTCAATGTATAAGGATGCTATTAGAAGACTTTGTCTTATAATAACATGTCCACTTATGAGTTGAGAGTTTCTTTTCCATTCCTAGTACTTTGACTAAATGCATTTATTTATCTTTTGTCCTTGTATGCTTTATTAATTAAGCTACTAGTATTATGAAATAAAAAGAGAAAGCATATATATACCTATGAGGTCGGATGGAACTTTTCCATTGCTAAATCTGCCTGTTGGAATTCCTCCTTCAAAATCTTTTCCATAAGGTGGAAAATTGGAACGAGCACCAGTTCTCAAATTGTTATTATTGTTTCCAGTATCCATAATTGAATCTCCAAACACAAAAACTGCTGGAACTGAAACATTTGGTGGCAGTTTCACCAAAGCTTTTGTTTTACATGAAACAACCATTAATATTATTATGAAACGAAAAAGTAACAAAGGAAGAGACTTATGAAGAGGAGAAGAAGAAAGAGAATTCATAAAAGGAACCATAATTAGCTTATAGTTTGTTTAATTCTGCTTCTTCCATTGTCTGATATAAGAAGATATTAGTCTTGGCCTTAACGTAAGGGTGCTAAATCGACAAGTGTATCATTTTACTTTAGCTCATTTAATGTAAGAGATGATGCAAAACTATAGTGTTCGCAAATGCTAGCATGGATCGGTGTCACATTAATAATACTAATTGCAAAACCAAATTTTAAGAGTATCTTAACACACTCTTTTAGACCGTCGTGAATGTTTTCGCAATTATTGTTGTTGCGGTTGCGGTGTAAATTAACTACAATTTATTCTTTAATATAAAAAAATAGTAATAAGATATTAATGTCGATATTTGTTTTGTCACAGTTGTGATTACGACATTTTTAAAATCAATTTTAAATTTAACTCTCCCTCTTTAATTTAGTCAAATTAAATATAAATGAATAAACTAAAAATTTTTTTTTTGGAATATTTTAAAAACTTATACACAAATCTAGGGATTGCAAACGAAAAATGTTAGAAATGTGTTATAATTTTTTAATTTATTTATAAAAGTAAATTAAAATATCAAATTTATATTCTTGCATGTCTGCGCTGCTGATATACAATTTTCATATTTCAATTTCTAATGGTGGACATTGAACAAATTCAGATATAATTTGACAATCAAAATATTATTGACACTTTTAAAATGTAAATTTTTTGTTATAAAGTTTAAATAAATTATTTTGATATTTTTTCATTTAAACAATATAACTTTTATGTTATTTTTTAATGATATAACTCTTTTATGCTATTTATATAATTATATTTTTTTAATTTATAGTGATATTCCCAAACTGAGTAACGTGTACTTAACCACCGTTAACAACAACCACTATACTAATATTCATATTCTTATTAAATAATTTAAACACTAATTTATCAAATATATTTTAAAATTTTCTCCAACATATAACTTTACAAACGTATATTTTAAAATTTAATATAAAAGTTTAATTGATATACATTGACAGTGTAAAATAAATTTAATAGAAATGTATCAATCTGTCGTATTATATTATTAACTTAAATTTTACAATCTGATGTGACGGAATATATGAAGGTGGTTAGTTGACAATATAAAATTATTTTACACTATTAGTACATAGAGTAAGAATATGTCAGATTAACTAACAGAGGTCTACGGTCTAGCCTACATAGGCTCAGGTTAGGTCAGGCTTTTTCTTAAATAAAAAATGCCTAAATTTGTTTATAAGTCTATTTAGCTAAAAAAAAGTTATGTCACATAGATATGAACAACTTTTTAAGTCTATCAGACCAATTTATTTATAAAAAATTTAATAAATTTATTATTATTATATTATATTTTATACTTTGAATTAAAATATGAAAATAAGTTGAAAAAACATTATAAATAATATCATAAGTTTTTTTTTCTATAAGTTCTCTCCAACAAATAGTATCACCAAACTTATATTAATAGATAAATTTGAATGAGACAATAAAAACAAATATTTAGTCTTAATAATCTTTTAATTTATTAGTCTATTTAACAGTAGTTAAATTTCTTATTTACAAACGTTCAAATGAAGTAGATTTTTAAATAAATTAGTAGGTCAATTTGACTTTCGAAAAGGTCAGACTTAGGTTTAAAAATAAGTTTATGATATGCTACGGTCCAGACATAAATTTTAAATTTTTTAACTGATGAGACTTAGGTTTTACAAAGTCTAATTCGATCCAGCCTATTTTCACCCCTATCAAAACATATCAATTAAATTCTTAATATAAATTAAATTTCACTTAATTTTTTTCTTAATAATGAATCAGAGTTTAACATAGTCATGCATTCACCTTTTGTGATCATAAAGATGGTTAATAGAATTAGTTGAAAGTTGTTTTCGCATAATTGGTGCAGTTGGCTAGTCGTAAGTATCCATCAAATTGAATTGAATAAGCATTCCTAGTATTATAAAGAACCTTCGATAATATTTTGTGACATGGGATAAATCTTTTTATGACCAACATGTCACGATATCTCTCAAATTTTGGTAAATATTTACATTCTGAGGAAAATTTTAATTCTAAGTTTAAATGCATTGTTTGTCTTTCTATTATTTATATAGTATTAATTTTTTAATTTCTTAAAAAAAATTACTTTTTAGTCCCTTAAATATGTTTTTCATGAAAAAAAATTATCATCTTTAGTTTTACGAATGTGATCGGAGGATAAATTATTTATTTTTAATGAAATAGTAATACTAATTGGGATAAAAAAAATTAAAAAAATTGTTGATTAATATTTTTAATAATATTATAAATAATTATATTTTAAAAAATTGAAAATTAAATTAAATTTTATACAAAATTAGTTATTCAAAATATATTTAAGTTTAACATCTTTTTAACGAATAAAATAATTAATAATTAATAATTTTAATTTTGATTTTAAAGAAATTAATTGACCAAAACTTTTAATGCAAACATTTTGGAGTTTGAGGCTCACGTGTAAGTTTTATAAACATTTAAATTATTCTTTTAAGAAACGATGTGGAACGTTTTTGATTACTCAATTGCAAGAGTTGCATGTGGATTGTCTTTTGTTTAAACCCTCACCAAAGCGTTGTTTCACTTCTTCTATTGTATATCTATGAAAGTATACATTGATTACTTTCCATTCTCACTATCTTGCATCAATAAATCTATGAAGTTATCACTTCCCATGCTATATACTTTCTCCACATAAATGCTTCACAATCTTGCTTCAAGATTTCACAAATGGTTGTGCCTTAGAAAAAACAACATAAACATTTCATGATGCTTACATGCATGGATGCAGCATTAATTTGTCAATTTAGCTAAGAGTGTTGAAGTGTAATTTAATATTTTTAATTGTTCTTATTTGTATTTAAACAAATGTACTTTTGAATAGAATAGATGTAATCATTCACTATAATTATTTTGTAAGAGTAGTAAAAGTTTGTTATTTTCTCTCTTTTCTTTTATTTTCGTCTTCTTCATCTTATACACCAACAATTGATATCTATAATTTTAGTTCGGTTGTACGAGAAAACACAGGGAAACACGAGTGAACAGTGAAGCATTGTGTGATTGATTTTGTTTCTTGAATTTATTTTAAATTTTTAATCGGTATCGTAAGAGAATCACATTTCTTGATTCTACAGGATTGAGAAACACTAGTGTTTGGTAAAATATGAGTGAATTACACAAGGTTGAAGATGAACGAAAATGGTAATCTGAGTACTACACTTCTAGTGTTTGATAGAAAAAACTAGAATCGGTGGATCATCCTTCATTTGTTTTCTCCAATTTTTTCACTTATCTTGGTTGCATTTATTTATTGATGATTGAAAATAAAAGGTAAGGTGAGTATTTTAAAATTTTCTCATTCTATTCTCCTTTTTTAGTTGAACCCTAAAACCTCAATTTATTAAAAATATCAATTTTCTTAATTTCTCATAAATCGTTTTCTTTATAATTAATTGGTTTCATTGTTCTTTTAATAGAATGAAGAAATTTTTTCGGTACGTTCTAGAGATAAAGCTACTTCTTCGACTAATTTAGAAGCATCAGAAACTCAACATCAAAGTGAGAGTATCAAAGTTGTTGATTATGAATTATTGGAAACGGATCCAGAAATTAGGCCTCCGATTTCAAGCCATCATCCTGACATCCAAAATGAGGTAAGGAAAACTTATTTAAAAATAGATCGTCATCAAGGTGAGCATTTGAAATTTTTCTCATTCTATTCTCCTTTTTTAGTTGAACCCTAAAACCTTAATTTATTAAAAATATCAATTTTCTAAATTTCTCATAAATTGTTTTCTTTATAATTAATTGGTTTCATTGTTCTCTTAATAGAATGAAGAAATTTTTCTGGTACGTTCTAGAGACAAAGCTACTTCTTCGACTAATTTAGAAGCATCGAAAACTCAACATCAAAGTGAGAGTATCAAAGTTGTTGATTATGAATTGTTGGAAACGGATCCAGGAATTAGGCCTCTGATTTCAAGCTATCATCCTAACATCCAAAATGAGGTAAGGAAAGCTTATTTAAAAATAAATCGTCATCAACCTCCTCAAAATTTCATTTATCCTTGGTCTGTTCAAGGTAAACAAAAACGTCGATTTTATAAAAAATTGGTTTGATTTGTATGACTGGATTGATTATAGTGAATCTAAATACCTGACATTTTGTTTGTCATGTTTTTTGTTTAAAAATGTCTCTAAATATGAGGGGATCACTTTGTGGAAGACGGTTTTGGTGATTGGAAGAATGCTCAAATATTGTCTAATCATGCTACTTCTTCCAATAGTCATGTTGATTGTATGCATATGGGTTATGCTCTCATGAACCTAAATCAAAGTATTAAGGTCACATTTGTTAATCAAACTAAGCAAATGAATGTCGAATATTGTGTTCATATAAATACATCCCTTAGCTACTAAGTTTCTTTTGTGGTGTGGCATGCCACTTAGAGGGAGTGACGAGTCCCTTAACTCTTTATTTAAGGATTCGTTTCTTGAGTTAGTGGACACTTTAAAGGAAATTTACCTAGAGATAGCTAGTGTAATAGATTGTGCTCTGGAAAATAACCTTATGATTGCCCTTAAGATTCAAAAGGATATTGCCATTGTTTGTGCATGTTAAATAACTCAACAAATTATATGTGATATTGTGGATGATGTGTTTTATGTTTTGTTTGATGAATTTGGTGATGTTGCTAGTAAAGAACAAATGGCTATTGTTATTCGTTATGTTAATAATGAAGGTTTGGTAAAAGAAAGGTTTCTTGGTATTGTAATTGTTAAAGAAATAAGTTCTAAGTCACTTAAGGAGGAATTTGAGAAGTTGTTGTCTATTAATGGTTTGAGTATATCTAGCATTAGAGGGCAAGGGTATGAAGAAGCTAGCAATATGAGAGGTAAGTTTGATGGTTTGAGAACTTTAATCCAAAATGAGAATCCATCTTCTTATTATGTGC